CATCATATCTCCCAGGGCTGCCCTAATCCCAGGGCAACTCCTGGGAAAAATTAGGCATTTCCAGGAGATCTCCTGGGACTCTTCCAACTCCCCTGGGAAACGGAAAAAACTCCTGGGATTCCCAGGGCTTGTTTTTACCGTGAGGAAAACTTGTGAAAGTAGCATCCTCTAGAGAAATTATTTTCTTCCCCTGACTCAATACATAGTAGTGAGGATTGATTGAACTCAAATAGTGACAGGGCACACCCCATTGTATTGTGTCTCTTACCGGACAACGTGATGGCCACCTTCTCCACACCACCCAGCGGCCCGAGCGCGTCCCTCGCCTTGCTGCCGAACAACTTCTCCAAGTAGTTCGGTCCGTGGCTGGCGAGCAATGATTGTAGGAAACTCGCAGTCTCCTCCACGGGCGGCCGCTTAGCTGCAACAAAAGGAATCGACATTTAATACGTATTTTTTCGATGTGCCACGCCGAGAGCTCCGAGGGGGATTCCGCTCGCCCGAGTGAGCGACACTCAGGATCAAAATTAACTCCATTAAACGGGCGGCGCGAGCAATTTCCATACATCCCTATTAAGGGCTGCGTAATGAGGCTTGTGTGTGTGAAGGGGAGGCGGGTTGGGGGAAGCTGCTTCCCGAAGTCATCTCCCCCTCCCCCGCGTCGGTAGTCGGTGCTCCCGGCCTGCGCGTAACAACCTCAGGGGAGTGCCTCGCGCTCTCCTGGACCAGCCGGAACTGCTTTCAATCCAATGGCCCGTTATGGGCTGTATAGAGCTCATAAACTCCAAGTATTATAAATCCTGAAAAACCTTTATTTTTTTCAGAAAGGAGTATAATTCCCCCCCCCCCCCCTTTCCTTCCAAACAGATGGAAATTCAAAGGCTACCACGGAACTGTTAACGAACAGTCCGTTATAGCTCTGTTTCCACATTTAAATAGAACAGTAACGTCATATAGTTGCTCCGTACCCGCAGGTGAGGAAAGAGCAGAAAAGATGCCTTTGTATATAAAACATAACACATATTTTAGGGTACGCATATTGCCGTAAAATAATTGATTTTTCGTTGTTTTTCCTCTCAGGAGGGCAGGCGTCAGACCCCCTCTCTCTCTATGTCTCCATCTCTCGCTCCCTCTCTCCCTCCCTCTCTCCCTCCCTCCATCCCTCCCTTCCCCTCTCTCTCTCCCTCTCCCTCTCCCTCCGCCCCTTTGAAAAAGTTTCGTAGTTGCTCGAAAACTCATCAGATCTAAGAAAGTCTTCTCAAAAAAAGAGGGAATTTCTCTCATATATTCGGAATACTGTACTATACTATATACTACTGGCTGGGAGCAAAACGCAGCATCCGTTGAGTCGAGCATAGACCAAGAAAATTTATTCCAGGGTGCATAAACTCACACAAACTCATCGCAGAAGATATCTCTGATTTTGAGCTTGCCCTAAGCTGGAAGATTTTTAACGAGGCATACGTTTTGTTTAGTGCCCGGCAGAAAAAATATTTTTCCCAGTGCAGTAATCCTCTTTTTCCAGCTAGCCGAATAAGTAAGCATAGGTGAGGTGATCTAAAAGTTTGTTTATTAGAAGCCTCTCGACTTACCTCCTTGTCTGTTAAAAGGGTAGGAGGCTATCTGCAGCTATTACGTTTTATAGCCTGCTTAGCGGAACAGAGGGAGAGGGAGGGAGAGAGGGAGAGAGGGGGGGAGAGAGAGAGAGAGAGAGAGAGAGAGAGAGAGAGAGAG